ACATTTTAATAAATCAATATAGTCACAATAAGATAAAATATATTTAAGAAACAAAAAGACATGAGTTTTCTCAATTCAACTTAAAAAGATCGTTATATTCTTGTTGTAATTTTCGTTGGAATTTTCTCATTTTCTTGTAGTAAAAGTATGTCTCCAAATCTATAAAAAAAATTGCATTATTATATAATATTGTGTGCAACTATTATTATGAAAATTTTGATATGATAGAAAATATAACATATTCAATGTAATTGTCGTTTAATTTATGATAATAAGTAATTTTTGTTTCAAAACAAACAAGATACTTTGAAAGATCCTTAATTATTTTATTAGTATTATAATAACTAAATAAGGGGTAAGAATGATGAGAAAACTTATAGCTCTCATTAAATCAAAGAGTAAAAATACTGATAAAATTACTTAATGTACAATATCATTTAGAGCTGGCTAATGAGAAATATATAACATACTTAAGATACACATATATTTTAACTAGAACTTTTAGGTATACATTTCTTTAAAATTGGGTATGTTAATTAAAAATTTAATTACTTCTTTCTCTCATTAATTTTTTTAATTTTGAGATACTTCATATTTTTTATTTGTTACTCTTTTTATATGTAATATATTACATTATTTCTTTTCAATAATGTTTGAGTTGACCAATATATTGCAAATAAAATAAAAATAATATAATTATTTATATCGATATATATACATATATATATCAATAATAATTTTAAAATAATAAATTGACCTAAAATTATAGTATATATTAATTTATTTATTCAAGTTAAATCAATTTTATTAAGTATAAAATAACATAAGATAAACTTGTGGTATATTTTTCTTACATTTTTTTCTTACATAGATTTGAAACAATTCATATTAAAAATAACATAAAAAAAAAATGGAGGTACACTTACAACTATTCCCACATTTTGACTAGAGCGCCCATTCCCGATATATATTTGACACTGGTTTGCCGTAATGCTGAAACTATGGCGAATGCACCTTAGGTACAAACGAAGCGAAGCGAAGTGCAATCATAGATAAAAGAGGAAGAGACTAGGCTAGAGAAGGGAAATGAGATAACATTAACTATGTGAATTAAAAAGACAAATAAATGAGTTGTACGTTAAACTATTATTCAATTACTGCTTGAAAAAGAACTCTATAAAGGTGGTATCATATATGTATTCAGTGATTATGAAAATGACTTAGTTACCTAATATTTTATCAAACATTGGCAAAAATTGTAAACTTTATAATCTAATAATTCGTATAAAAGTACATTTTTATCAAATATATTAAATTTACATTATATCTTATGTGATTATAGTAGTTGCAGCCTAATAAAAAAGATAATTTGAAAACATCATTATATAAAACACATACAAAAAATAACGCAATACATATAAATGTGCTTTAATTATTTAGCAAATAAAATATTATTTATCTATAGAATAAGAAACAAATAATATAATAGTAACACAATGAGAAAAAGAATACGAGTGAATTTTCTTAGAGAAGTATGAATACCAATATTTATGAACAAAAAGTCTTTGAAAATTACTACTTTTTTGCTGCTAGCGTTTAAATATAGGGACTCTGTAAGAAATTGGTTTTCATAAATAATGATCCCATATTATTTATTTTTTATTTTAAATAATTAAAAAATAAAAAAAAATTGTAATACATAATGTATATTTTAATCATGACTCCATAATAATAAACTTTGCATATGACTAAGAGTATCGTAATATAATAGAATTCTAACTCTTCTCCTATCAAATATTTTAACAAATGATATGTTTCTCAATATTTTCTCATTGTTTTAATTGTTTTGTTTTGTCATTGTTGGAGAATAAAGAAATTATCTTTATCTTGAATTTTATAATCATTTTGTATGATGAATAATGTTGGATAATAAAGGCATTAAAGAAGTTATTAGGCACAAAAATATTGCATACTCAAACGAATGTGAAAGATATTATGATAAACAATTCTAAAATCATTCCAACAGCCATGATGGTCAATAATTTTCAAATAATAGGTTATATTGTTCGTCTATATTCTAAATAAATAACAATGTCGGAGTATCAAAACAATTTTGAATGTTCGAATGAAGTTGTCACTTTTTATAGAAATATTTATAATCTCTTGGTATATTGTACTCGAACATATGTGCAATTACTCTAGAGGTACTTTCAGGTAATGTATGATGATTTCAAAAAATAATTTAGCACCTCTGGAGAAGTACATGTAACCAAAATTTTAGAAAGTCAACTTTTATTTGGAGATAAAATTCATTCCCACCTCGTGGGGCGATGCATCAATGAGGTAGGCACCAATATGTCTAGAGACAAATGAATGTAGTAGTTAATACAATGAAAAAAAAAATACCGGCAATTTTAATGACATAATTAGTTATTTTATAGAGATATTTATGCATTGTTAGTAGAAGTGCCTTATTATAAAGATTATACGATCAAGAAGTTTGACTATATGTTGGATCAAAATGTTTCTTAAGTGTTTTAATAAAATTAGCGTTTTGCCAAATGAATTAAGAGAAATTTTGCAATAGTATTGATGTATTAGACTCCAGCGAGTATGAATGTTTCTTATAAGAAATATGAAAAAAAATCTTAATGGTTTTTGTATTAAAGATTTGTTTTTTATATGTTTTAGTTAGGGTTGTAAAACGTTATTTCACTCTTTTTATATTAGGACATCATTACGCTAATTATAAATAAAAAAATCCACATATGAATTCATTTGTTCTATATTTTATTTCATTCCTGCAATGATATGTTTAATGAATAAATTAATTTATTTTACAAACTTACTCAGCAAAAATCATTCGATACCACGTGCATCGCACGTGCACTTTACTAGTTACAAAAAAAAGACCGACCCAGGGCCGGTTCTTGGGAAAGTTGCCCAAGGCCATTGTCTAAGGCCCCACATCAATTGGGGTCTCATTTCTTTTTTCGTTTTTAGTATTTTTTTATTTAAATATTTTATAGAATTTTAATTACATAAATAAAAAAAATAATTAAGAACCTTAATTAAGAAAAAAAATTATATTTTTGTTTTTCTTATAATTTATTGAAGATTGATCCGCTGGTTAATTGATTTCAAACGAACTAATTTATTGTAGCATGTTACTATGTTTCGAAATTACAATTGTGTCTCTAAATTGTTTATAAAGTGAACTGAACATAGAAGTTTTTTTTATTAATTTGTATGTGAGTATTTATCTTTTTATACTTCTTTACTTTAATTTTACTATAACATTGATATTATATTGTTCTTTAATTCGTAATTTATTTTTAATTCCATTCCAGTTTAATAAAAACTAGTACAACACCCGTGCATTACACGGGTGCTTGTTAAAAAATTATTCTTAAATTTTAAAATTAATGAGAAAAAGATTATTTAAAATTTTATTTAATTTTTTACAAAAAATATATATTATTATATATTTTAGAACGACACTTGTTACTTCTGCGACTTACATGTGTTATATTATAGTAACTTTTATAATTTATATCATATATTATATTTTAAACCAGCTCCTGTCTCTATTCTCCTGTGGGCAGCTTTTCATTGTAGTTTTTATTTGTGTTGTTGTGTTGTTGTTTGAGTGCCTTGTATAGGTTTATAGCATTTGCTAGAGTCGGGCTTCTATGCGGTCGTCAGACCTATCCTTCCATTTTTTCAGCTGTGGGTTGCATTTCAAGTTGTATCTTTGCACATTTGTGCGTTTATTATATAAAATCCCTATCGTTTTAGTAAAAANTACATACAATATGGATGTTAAATCGAAGCTCATCAAGAGATGATTAATTTGATATATTATATATGTAAAACTGATGAAAAATACAAAAATTATTAACTTTTAAAATAAATTTACAATTCAATTGTTATAATAAGAAATCCCCTCTATATATAATTTCAGAATGCATGAGTCTACTGGCAAACTCTCATGCTTCAGAATCTTATTTGACAAAAAACAATGCTTTGGAGTTAGGTTTGGATATAAATAAATATTTATATTAATTGTATTTTAACATCGTTTCCTATTATAACCATTGAATTGAAAATATATTTTAAAAGTTGATAACTTTTGTATTTCTTATCTCTTTTACATATATAATATATCAAATTAATCATCTTTTGATGATCTTCGATTTGACATCCATATTGTATATATAAAATAAATAAATTATCTCCGTTTGTATTTTACTATTTATTTATATATATATATATATATAACAAAACAGTAATATATATCCTTATAAATAAAATTTAAATTTATTTATCAAACTAAATTAAATTATATCAAATAAAACTATAAATTATATTATAAAGTTATAGAAATTGGTATGTATTCTTTTAAAAATGATATTTATTTCAAATCTAATTGGTACGTTGTCAATGTAATAAAAATAAATAATTATTTATATAAATTCTAAAATTGCATATGATGTTAAAAAACTGTGAAGCACGACTGATACGACACTTTATGTATTAGGCATCTAATTATGTAATAGTAAATAATTTCGATATTGTTATATGATATAAGTAAAAAATTCAACACGGGTTGACATTTTCAATTAATGTACGGGTGTTTAACTATTATGATTAAAAAAAATACAATTTGACAATTTAATTAAAACCCAAAGTAATATTTTATATAAAAGTAAATTATTTTAGTTTTTTAAAAAGAATTAAAAATTTTACAAAATCTTTCTAATTCAACACCCGTGTAATACACAAGTATTGTACTAGTGATATTAAAATGAAATTAATACATGTAATATGACCATAAATAATCAACATATTTAAGAATAATCTGAACCTAATTATTTTTCTATTGGAAGTAAAATAAAATCTACCCAAGCCTAATAACGAAGTATGTAATTTTGACACATAGGATCCCGAAACATGCGAGTCAGCCACTTAGGCTCGGCACGTTTTGAATTAATATATAAGGGAGTATAGGGTGGTATTTTATTACAAAAACATAAATCAAATACTGATTTTAGACAATGCATTAACTGGGAAAACAATATTTAAATTAAGTTGTGCATCCCGGAGAAAAAATCGAAGCAGGAGGTAATACACAATTTAGAATATGTAATTACCTGTAATATTTGTTTCCATGAAAGCTGAAAAATAACAACAAACTAAACACAATTACAATTGGTAATTTGCAGATAAGCAACACAAAATCACACTGACTTATTTCCTTAATTCAACAACAAGGCAAAGTCAACAAAAAACATAACCACGAAACAAAATCAACAAACGACAAATTAAGCGGACGGAAACAAATCACATAAAAGCCACCGCATTTCAGTCGCTTTAATTATTCAACGTGTAACCCTGCAACCACAGCCACATCATCTACCTGTGGCGTTGCAAACCCTCCTTATGACCCCTCTGGACCCCACCAACGGCGTAATCTCAGACATCCTCAGCATGGCGCTGGCAAAGTCGGCCGCAAAGCGCCGACTGTCATTGCTGTAAGTGGTGACGAGTGCGTTGGTTAACCCACTTGTGAAAAGCACCTGATCCGACTGTAGTAGCCCCCGCCGCTGGACCAGGTTTCTGTAGTAGTTGTTGTCGAAGGAGTTTTGGGTCACGAGGTCTAGCGGGGCAAGGTTCGTGTTCCCTCCCGACTGAGGGCACGTGCGTCTCCTTGTGGTTGCAAAATTGGGGTCGATGTCAGTGCCGTTGCTGTAGATTCTGCTCCGGAAGAAGACGCACTGGGCTAGCCCTATCGTGTGTGCCCCTGCGTGCATGCAAAACAGTCGAACATGACTTGACAAATATATTGCATGAGTTGTTTATCAGAGTTTTTTCATGCATGAAGATGAGATTAATTAAATTAAATGAATATCATCACCCCACTTGTATTTTTTTGTTCATTATTGGCAAAAATTGTTAATCCTAGCAATTTTAGTCATGAGATTCCAGCATTTTGCCTTTTGGTCTTGTAATTTGATTTATTATTTTACTGCAATTTTAGTCATTTGAGGACTGCAACTGCAACAAATTCTCAAATTCACGTATTTTCGATTTGCAGTTCACGTTCTTTAGTTTAAAATTTTGTTGCGAGTTCAGTCCTGTAATTTTAACATTTTATTTGCAATTTCGGTCCTAAAAGGACTGATGAAATTGCAGCAAAATATTAAATTACATGACGAAAAAGCAAAATGAAGTTGGAACCTTGAGACTAAAAGTACTGCTATGATGTTAAACCAACAGGACTAAAAATACATTTTAGCCTTTATTATTATTATTTTCTACCTGAGAGGGCAACCATGTCTGTCTGATTGAGTCCCTTGTTGCGGAAGGCATTAATGAGGCCTTGTGCGGTAGAAGAAGGTCCCGGCAAATCTGTGTTAGCTGCATTGAAGTTGGCAGTGGTAGAATCCCTTCTCCCAACTCTCACCGGCCATGATGGCCCTCCAACCTATTCATTAACAAGTTATCGTAAATACACACGCGGTTTCAATTCACCTAGGAGTAAATAACATGATACTTACAGCAACTGAGGCATCACGTGCAGCCACCGCTAAAATGTCTGCGCACGAGACTACGCCCGGGCATATACGCTCGACTGCTGTCTTGGCAGCCTCTATCACATCAAACCCTCTGGCGGAATTGGCATTTGGGCCGGCCGATTTCTCGCTTCGGATTGTGGGGGAGTCGTCCAGAAGGATTGAAGCGTCACAACCTTGTACAAAGCAGTCATGAAAATGTAGGCGGATAATGGAGGCCGCCATGCGGGTCTCACGGGCAATCGCCTGCCGGATGGAAGTACGGATTGTACTGAGTGCATTGGGACATGTACGGGCGTAGAAAGTGGGGGACAGCTGGGCTTGTGATGGGGTGGTGGAGATGAGTAGTGAGATTGTTGTTAGGGTTAGGACAAAGTTGATGGCTTTCGTGGTGCCCATGTTGAGACAATATTGAAAATCGAAATTGCTTGTTATTAATATTATTTATATTTTTTTAACTAAAAAGACAGACGTGCTAAAGTCAATTTACTTGGAGATGAAGATGATTGAGAAGTAGGGCAATTTGGGTGCTGAATTTATAGGGAGCAGGATGAGCGTGTGTGTGTGTGTGTTTGAATATAATCTGGTCACGGCTGATTGGTAAAACGCGTTGCTGACATTGTTATTGTAATAATTGTTAAGGAAAATTGGTGCTTCTTTTGATTTATTTTCTCTAGTTCGTCTGTGAAAAATCATTCAGTATATTCAAACCCTGATTTGGTCAAAAGATGGTTTTGAATGGATATACAAAACTCTAAAACTTCTGACTTACAGCTAATAATGGAAAGGATAAAGACTTGTGCTATGTACCTAATCATTTACTAATAATTTTAAAGTCAGAAAGATTAGAATTTGTTAACTGTTGTCGATCATAATAATATAACTAACGCCCACAAAGTTCAATTAAGCTAATACTCTGATTTTGTGATTTTCATTAACTTAATCGAAATATCATGTTACCTTAGCAAGCCATGTGCATAAAGAAAAATTTTATTCAAATCACTCGTGTTGTGCGAACTTATTCATGTCATTTGTACTTGGCCCATATATAGATACAATTTAGCCAAATAAGAGAAACTTATGGTTTTCAATCAATTAGTCTAGTAATATTCAATTTAGTTAGTCAATCAAAACATCATGTTGCCAAAATAACTTCTGTGTGCGTAGAGCGATTTTATTGTAATTACATGGATGTCGTGTGGAATTACTTATACATTTTGTGATCGGACCATAGGTAGACAAAAATTTGTAAAATAATAACACATATGAGATTACAAGTATGTGATAATTATTTGGATTGTTCATGAGAACATTAGTGAGTCTAAAGATAAATTTTTATTTGACATAATTTATTGTCAATATTTATAGATTTTTTCTATAATGTTTGTATGCGTATGGAATAATGTTTCGTTATTATTTGGGACATAAGATTGATGTATAATGTAGGAGGTTCCACTAAGGATATTATATGAAATAATTATTGGAAAAAATCAGTTATAAAATTTGTGTTTGATCCGATTTTGACTGAATTTTTTATGGCTAAATATTTAAATCGGGCTGAATTAAATTATGTAGAAAAATTCTACGTTCCGAGAAGATACTCGTGGTATATTTATTTTCCCAAAGCTGATTTATGCGAGTGAGAAATAAAGGATTAAAGTTAGCCATAAATGAGAACGTACAACGAAGGTTGTGGGATTCGAAGGGTCAAAGTAATTTCCACATTTGACTCGTAAATGAGATTAACTCTCTTTATTATAATAAAAAGAGTTGTAGAGGTCACAAAAAAAACAAAAAAAAAAAACAAAAAAAAACAAAAAAACAAAACAATGCACCAAGTGTTGGTGTTGACTTCCGCCACACGAGCTACACGGACCTTGTGGCATCCGCAAACTTCTTGTACAGTTTGGGGATGTTGTTGGAATTTGCGTCTTTTGTGTGGCTAAGGAGGACGTACCTGTTAGATTTTGATTAATTGTTGTCCCACATCGGATATGTACCAAAGATGTGTAGGATCTTTTTAGTATAAATAGGTCCCTTGTCTTTGGGTTACAATTGCATCTTATTCTATTCTCTCCTCTCTTAGAAGAAAATCCTATTTTGTGGGTTATTTAACCCTAGTTGTATTTTGTTGTTGAGTTTAGTAAATTTGGCATCACTACAAGAAACATGGTTAGTAGGAACAACTAAATATTGTGCCTAAAAGCATTAAATTCGTGGCTATTTATGTATTGTAATGAAATGTCGTTGCAACCAAGTCGTGCCAATAGACGTGTGTCTATAGACATATTGACACACTAAAATCGTTGCTATAAAGCCAAAGTACTAGGCACGACTTTTGTCATGCCTATTCCCTGTAATAAGCACAACATTTGTCATGCCTATTCTTGTCTAGGGGAACCTTATTTTTAATAATAAATTATAATTATTTAAATTTATTGAAATATCAAAATGTTTCAATTCATAAATAATTGCTATTCACATTTGTTGTCATAAAAAATTATTTCAAAAGTGTCATTAAAACAATAAATTACTTCAATAACTTTGTGATCTATATTGAAGTTCAATCATCATAACTCAAATGAAAGTAAAATAACAGTATGGTGCTAAAAATGTTTGATTCACCAATCCATAGATACAAAACTATTACATGTAATAACGGAACAAACATATACATAAGAAGTAACAAAATAAAGCATAATGTGGTTGTACATTTAATTTTCACTCATGAAATCAAGTATGCTCATCTCAATCGAGAGCCAAATAGCATCATAACACCATCCTGCTTATGCTTATTCCTCTTCCACTATTCCACATCATCCCTATTCTCGACTTCGTCTTTAACCGAACAATTCTCTTGAACATCCTTACGAACTAGAATACAAATAACAATGAAACTGATATTACAACCAATTCATAAAATTNCAATAAAATGAATAAATTAGTAAAAGGCTAAATATAGTCTTTCAAGTTCTTCCTCAGCTTTAGTCAATATAAAAGATAATGGAACATTTAGATACATAATAGTGGTATGATCACAGCTTAAATAAAACCTTAGACTCTATTGCACAAATCATAAGCTTGTATTTTACTTATTTGATAGAAAAGCAAAACAAGCAATGTTCTAGGCAGAAGCATGGTGAGTAGAATGAAAGCTCAGGATCTACACCCCTTAAGAATCCAAACAATAAATAAATGATAAGATCATAGTGAAAATGTGAGTATAACAAGGATGGGTCATGAATATGTTCAAGTTCACAAGCTCCTACCTAGGCTACCATCCAACCACACGAGTATATGTTGATAATTTATTGAATGATTATTATTTTTCAACTTCAAAGTTTTTGTTGCAAACTGAACTCATAGGAGTTTCACATCCAACCAAACATGAGTATATGTTGGAAACTTTTTGGTGATATATATTGCATTAAACATTAAAAGTAATTTATTCATTATATGAGCACAAAGAAAGTAGATTTTTGTTACGCAGCTGCCACACATCATTTAAATGTCCGGCCGTAACTCATTGCAGCTAGTTCATTTTTTAGCTCTCTTTCTTTTGCTGGAAACTAGACTCATAGGAATTTCACAAGATGTATAGATTGGATTCAAACATAGCCACATTAAAAGCAATTTATTCACTAAAGGTCCCAAAGCATGCATTTTTTTTGTTTCTCATCTACCATTCTTAAAAAAACTTCCCATAACTCATTGTAAGAAAATCATTTCCGAGCTCCATTTTTATTTAAAACTAGACTCATAGACATTTCACAAGATGTATAAAATGGATCATAGACTCAATAAAAGCAGCTTAATTACTCACTATAAGTGCCCCAAACAAGGTGATTTTAGTTGTTCATCTATCACTCTTCATTAAAATGCTCATAACCAACTGTAGATAAATTATTTTTAAGCTCCCTTAGTTTTATTGCAACCTATACTCACAAGGCCTTTTCTCATTGTGTATGTATTGAGTTCTAAATTGGTCACAGTAAAAGTAGTTTTGAAGCCAAATACATGGAATATATTGATGCCCTGGCATTTCAAATGAGTCTACTCTATTATCAGACATGTTCAAGCAATTGAAACATTATACTAATCTTTGAATAGATTTATCTTCAAAGAAACAAAAAACGTATCCAAGATTCAAACATAATTAACACAGAACATTAGCATTAAATTTCCACCCACGGGAAACTCACGAACAATTAAGCCATTATTTAAAAACACATACAATCAAAACCTACAAATTAAAGGTACTAAAAAGAATAAATTTCCCAAAATAAGTTGAGATAACAGCATTTACCAGTGAGCATTTATCAGATCTAAATACGGATTACATTAAGACGTCCCACCTCTTATGCCAAGCCTCTGCTCGAAGTCGAATTCCTCGTTTTCTGATTTCACTACACAACACGGCCAAAAGAGTACAAAAAACAAAGAAGGTCAGAATAGGCGGAAATATCATACCATTTATGGGAGAGGGCGTGAGAGGCCAATTGGATTGAGAATTGCATTTGCCTCGCCGTTCCTTCTTTCTCCCCTCATTCAGTGACTTTGCTAGAAAACCCTAGCCTCACACTTACAAAAAGCCCAAAATTTTTTGTCAAAATATTTCTCCCGCTATTTTTTCCCGTTCTGGCGCCTTATAAAACATTTCAGCTGTATTACACATTATTTTATTTGGATAAAATAAAAGGATAAATCTAAGTATTAAATATAATTGTATAAGTCTATGATAGTATGATGATTCAAGTTAAGACCATTAATCTTAAATATCTATTATGCTTTAGGACTCCACATTTAAAAACTAATTTTCCGCACACTTAATAAAATATTATTGCAATACCAGTGTTATATACTATTATTGATTAACAAATATATATTTAAAAGAATTTTAAAAAACAAATGTAAAAGTTATTATTTTCAAATTTCAAATAATATTTTAATTATATTATTAATTTATTTAAACTGACACTCATATAAAGAATAATGTGTTATAAAACTTGCCTTAATTATAAAATGACCCCAGAGAATTTCTCTCCTTGTCAATTGCCATAGCCGATCAACAAAATTTGTGTCTCGGTTTATTGTTACGCATTATATTCTTGTGATCTCTTCATTCCTCACATATCTAAAACTTGCCTTAGTTATATCACAATTCCCTAATAAATCGCCTTAAATACGTTTATTGTAACTGTTGACGACTTAACGTCAACACTATTATTTGAAACTTTTGTTCTACATAAAGAATATACTGTAATGTGATTGCAAAATATTCAAGTTGTCTTGATATTAATATAAATAACTATAACTTTGTTGTGGTGATACGCAGTTGCTACATATGCTCAACAATAAAAGATTATGAAATAATTAAAACATGATCCAAGTATCTTTTAAAAAAAAATTTACCTAACAAATGAAAGTTATTTTAGAAATTTTATCAAAGGACAATTACTTATAATGAAAAAAACAATAATGATGAATTAATTGTGGATTTATTAGCACAACATAATTATCTATTGGAACAACATTTTTTCGTTCCTAAAATTCTGTACATGCAGGCACGACATTACACTTATAGGAACAACTAATGTCGTGCCTGTAGTGCGATCGATCTATAGGCACGCCGAATGAATGTTGTTGCTATATAAGTACCCAATAGGCACAACTCAATTGTCGTTCCAATTTTGTCGTGCCTACTAAGCACAAATCTTGTAGTGCATTGCGGTTGGCAGTGCCTGGAGACGTAGGCAATATTTGTCGAACTCCGTTATCAATTTTTGTGTCCTTTTTATTTCTCGTCTTTTATTTATTTGTGTTGGCTTATTTTCGTTTGGAGTAGTGCTTGTCATATTTGTTGTAGGGATAGTTTTGTGCGCTGCGCTTGGTGTTCTACCCCAACAAGTGGTATCAGAGCCGAGGGTTCGTCATAGGCTCATTCGGAGAGGCTGGCACTGCATTTGAGTCCGAGATGTCCAAGGAGGTCAAGGGCGCATCATCCTCTGCATTCATTCCGGCAAGGACGGTGATGCCGAACGTCAGATGTAACACCCCCTTATCATAGTAAATTTTTCACAACTTTTACTTCGAAAATACTTATAAATTTTACGAAATATTTTTGAGCTTAACTCGGGATGCTCATCACTCATATGAGATTTTTTTCATAAAAATTTTACTTTAAAAACTCAACCATGTACTGAATACTCTTGCATATAAAATCATCTTGACATGTATGCCATATAAATATTTTAACTCATTCATTTCTCAACATTGATGGGTCTACTTCTGGATCCGGAGTAAACCGCTGGTTGTGAGCTCAGATCTGCTTGAACCGCCTTGAAACCATCTCTAGACCGCAAGAATATCTGCAAAAACTCAACGCCGGAAGTGTTTCCGGCGTAGAGCCTCCGACGCTCAAGTCAGTATCAAAGGGATGAAGAAGGGCTGCGCAGCAGCTATAGGGGAAGTGAGAATGAATGAGAGTTAGTGTTTAGGATTACCTCATCTCCTTTATATAGGAGTGAATACTTACGTGAAGTGCCCAAAATACCCCAATCGGTGGACCTAGAAGGTCCAAAATGCCCTGGTCGATTCGTCTCCCCTTAGTGCTGGTAGTCACCACAAGATTCCTTCTTATCCTTCCTAATGTGGAGTGCATCGGATATGTTGCAAGTATGGTGAACCGACATCCTGTCCTCGTTATTTAAGATATGTGAGGTCCACTTCAAGGTCCAGGAGGTCGACTAGCGAATATGCACAGATTCGACGGCTCCACTTGACCAACTCTGAGATTGTCATATTCACGGAATCGTCTTAGTTCAGTCGACTTCGGGGAGTCGACTTAAGATATCTAGATGGCCGGGGGCTGTACTCTTTTCTCCTTTCATCGATGTCGATTAGTGAAAGTCGATAGATAAAGTCGACTTGTAAGAGTCGACTAGACCGGACATCTGCTGCTTAATTGCTCTTAGTAGGATCGACCCTAGGAAAGTTGATTCGGGCATGTCGACTGAGTCTTGTCGACCTGCGAGTAGTTCGAGTGGTTTGTTGGTTGAGTGAGGAGCTTCTGGACCGGGTTATCCTTATGTGGCTATATCATCTAGTCCCCCCCCCAAAAATTACTCTAAACAGTCGACTGTTTGAGAGTAAATTTGGTGAAGTACAGTTATGTCGTCTTCCTGCCGACCTTGCTCGCATTGACCCCACTGATCTTTTCTTCAACTCGTCTCGCCAATGGATTAGGACATCTGTCAATCCCCTGATTGTTTTTTAGATAAGTCTGACACTCTGACAGGTTTATTTCGAATTTCAAATTTCAAAACCCTAAAGTGACGCACGTCATTTCCATCACCGACTCTTCGAATTCCGCGCCTCATCGGGGTCGTTGGTTACTTCGATGATCCAACGGTCCACACCTATCTTTACCTTGTATAAATATGCTTACCCTACTCAAAGGATTACTTTTCGCATCTTCAAGTTTTCTCATTCTCTCTAGCTTCTCCAAGCATCTCCGGCAGTATCTGCTCACCGGCGCTCTTCTCTTCCTGCAACTTCAGGCTTACTCAGAATCCAAAACAACTACGCCATCATGTGTAAGTTCTTTATCTCCTTCGCTTGTGTTTTTGTTGGTTCTTCTCTTTTTCAATTTTTTCTGGGTTCTGGGAATTTTCGTGTGTTCTTCATGTTCTTCATGGATTTCTCATAAGTTTTGCGTTGGATCCTTTTACGCGCTTATTCTATTCAGGCTTAATGTTTTTCGCCAGTCGTCGGCCGCTAATGAGCAGTCGACTGTCACCTGTCGCTGAGTTGGCTGTTGTCGACTTAGTGACCCTCTTTCTTCAGTTTTCTCTTTTTGAGTCGACTGAGGTCGACTTACTAATTTATTTAAGCCAAGACACCGATAGCAATTACCCCCTCTTTGCCCTTTCCTTTTCTGTCGATTATTGCGAGTCGTCCTGATTCGGTCTTGTAGGCTCTTATTTATGACTTTACTAACTTCGACCTCCTCCCCTTTTTTTTCTTTTCTTAGCTTCCGAATCGTCTCCTCTTTCTGGCTCCCTTGGTCAACAAATCAACGATTATATTTGTCAAGCCGACGAGGGTTCTAGCTCTGATTCAGTTGAAGTAACCGGCTATAGGATGGTTTCCCCGCCTTCCCGTTCTTCTCCTCCTCTCGCCACTGTCTCTTCTGCCGACTGGGAGCAGTATGACCAAGCGCTCTTGGAGGGCGGTTTAGTCGACATCGTTAAGAGCCCTTCTCGAGGAAATCTTCCTCGTCTTGACCTTATTCCTCGAGGTATTCCTCTTAGGTTATTAGATATCCCTGTTTATAGAACCAGCCCTGTATCTGTACCACTAATTGTTCCACTTCTTAATTCTCAAAATGTTGTATCAATAGCTTGTCCCTTAGTTAGGTTAGCTGTTTTAAATCCTTTTTGTTATGCCTCTGCAGCCGAGGTCGAGGGCTTCAGGAACTTTAGCGGGCTTCCTTCCGACTGGGAGTTAGTCGCCCCAGGTCCTAATGACGATTTCGCTCATCCTCCTCCTGGTTGTCATACATTTTTTGTAGACCAAGTCGTCTTCGGCCTTCGCTTCCCTATCCAAGACGAACTCTTGTTAATAAGTAACATGTATAATATCCCCATAAACCAATTTTCTCCGAATGCTATCCGCATTATGATAGCCTTTATAGTCGTCTCCCGAATAACACTCAATTTCTTTTCGCCCGACTTTTTCTTCTACTGCTACGGCTATCGACTTTCCAAAGGCGCTCACTGCCTGGGTCGTCGTGCCGGTGTCACCTTTCTTGACGATCTTTCATCAAATGTCACCGAGTGGAAGTCGAAGTTCGTTTTCATTCGACCTGCTCCTGGCACGTATCCTTTTGTGAATAAATGGATCACCTCGAAGGTGAAGCAGAATAAACGGCCCCGCTCTGACGAGTTTGCCCGGCTATTATCCGAGTTAAATAAGCACACATACAGTGCTCGTCAGCTAATAAAGGACCGTGAATTAGTTAATCATGCTCGAATCGTCTTTTATGAGGACCTTCCTCGTCTCGATGATCCCCGTAAGCTGTCATTGTTCTCTCTTCTTTTCTTTGTGCAACTGTTTAGGAGTTATAATTATTTTCGTCATGACTGCTAAGTGTTCTTCTCCCTGCTAACTTTCCTTCTACTATTTCAGTTAAAGCGCTCAAACGCTTCGAGCTCAAGAAGGGCCAGTCGTCCGGCCCGTCAACTGGTGGTTCTGCCCCCGCCTCTCGACCCTCAGGCGGGTCCGGGTCAAGGCCCGGCGCTGCAGTTGTCGAGGCGGCGACTGCTCAAAAATCCAGGGTCGAGAACCCTGGTGCATCAAAGCATAAATCATCGGGCTCCTCTTCTCGCAAGAGGGCCCAAGACGATCGGGCCGCCATCCTCATTCCCGACGATCTCAAGCGTCGCAAAGTCGACAAGGGGAAAGGAAAGGCGGTCGAGAAGAAAGGCCCCTCCCCGATTACCGTCAAGGACGTGACGGTCAAGATGCCATCTCGGCTCTGGAACCACCCAGAGCCGTATCATGTGGCCA